AATATGATCAGAATTTATTTTACCTTTTAATATTTAATTCTGATATTAATTATATCAATCAATTATATCGTATATAGGCCACTATATGTTGTCCACCGCGTATTGCGATCAATAAAATAGGAGAATCACAAACTGTTCTTGATTCTCGCATGCGTCACGTGGACGGCTTCACCATCGCTCCCAATTCCATCGCAATGCTTGACAATATTATTCAAGAATTCGCAAGATTCTTATACTCATGTATTAGGGCACTGATTCGAAGATCAGTCTACTGATGGTAATCGGAATTGATGGAACAAAGTACATCTCTCTCGCTCGTGATGGATACAAGCGATCGGATGATAATTGATTCATTTTAACTGTTCTCGTCTCTCTTTTATGTCTGATGTTGATGAATGGGACTGTGGTGTTGCGACCACGCTGGCGGCGACGAGTGATTGAAGTTAACTGATATCGTAACCGGATGTAAAACGGTATCGGGTCCGGTGTCCGGAATGAAACTCAGATGAGGTCTGATCAAGGACGCCTCAACTGTCAGTGGCACATAGAAGGATCCGGCGTCGTGCAGAGCGAAGATTGGCACCCCGTGAGACGACGAAGACGGCGGTTTATCCAGCCCGGCACCGTTCGATACTGGTGATGAACACGATTTCACCCTCTCTGCCGAGAACCTCTGCTTGATCGAACTCTTGAATTTGTAATTGGTCGGCCGGTCTCGACAGGGAACGATTCCAGTTCCGGGTGGCGTACTATGCGAGTGGGTGCTGTGATTGCTGTCGTCACTTACAATCGTCGGCGGTGGCACAATCGTCGGTCGCAGCAACGGACGCTCCGGATCGCCAAACGAGCTTACACCCGAGCTCGAGCCGTGGTCCGAGTGGCCGCCATTGGGCTGACATATCGTCGGAATACTCGTGTGCGAGTAGCCGGCGCCGTTCATCGCTCCATTCATCACTGGCAACTCGGGATGTGGGAAGCCTAATCGGTCACCTACAACAAATTTCAGTGATTAACTGCCAGAATTCTTTTTAAAGCACATTGAGAGAAAGAAAATGGTCGCAATTATAATAATTTAATTATAATTTCTAGTCATTTTCGGTATCAACTACATATATTTTTGATAAACCTATAAATATACTTGTTATTGTAGCAGTAATAATTATAAAAGTGGAGATCATAATTATTTTACCATGCAATTAAAATCACAAATACTTTTCTCTCAGTGCAGACACTCTATATTTCATGGGGAATAATTATAATTCTATCAATCGTATCGAAATTTGGAAAGTGAAGAATTAATTGGATCAAATATTAAGAATTCATAATCTTCAATATACAAAAGACGTTAATTAGAATGCACTATAAAAATTATATAATATTTTCTCTTTTCAAGACATACAAATTGCAATGAAACTAATTATATCATTATATCATTGTTTATTACTATCAGTGACAGGATCAAAAGTATTAAAGTATATTTGTTTCTAAATAAAGGCTTTCTCTATATCTTTCAAAAGTAAAATGATACGTACTGGTGGCTACGATTTTGTCGCAGTGCTGCTGCAAATGATTGATGAGCTGTACGAAGAGGGTATCCCTCGCAAAGAAACCCTCGACCTCGATGAGGAAATGCATGGTTTCGCTCAAACACTCCTGAAATCCTAGCTTGTAATGCTCCGCCGCGGTGGAGGCCGCGGTCGAGTGGGACACGCTGTCCACGCTGTCCTCAGGATGTGTGTGCACTGGCGTCACGGATGAGTGCTTGGTATCTAAATACAAAACATTCCCAATAAGATGCCGTAAGTATAACTTAGGTATACGCTGTTAGATATGAAAAGAGCAATTTTTGATAACCCAATCCCTTATTAAATAATTTTATAATTTTTAACTTCCATATGTGCCAAAATCAAAATCAATCCATTTCTATGATCCATTTCTATGAACTATTTCAAAATAAACTTTCATATATATATATATATATATATATATATATTAACGTACTTAATAAATAATAAACTAAATTCAAGTCAAGTTTAATACATTTCTTGATTCTCCATTGCTTTAGTTAAATTAGCAACATACTGAGAAGCAATGATTACCTAATGAAATGATTAAAAATAACTCAAATTGAATGCAATTTGACATTATGAATTTAACAGTGTATACTTGGCAATATCGAGAGAACGCATATTGTTCTTATTCGCGATCTGCAATTTACGGTCTGTTTGCGGAACGACATTGGCAGATCTTGTTGCCAACTCGCGGAAATACAATGCAATGTTGCGTAATATATTCTCGTTCCCGAAATAATTTTGTTTGGGAGAATCGCGATCGGATCGATTAGATACTCACCTTGTCGGAGGCCTTGAAGATGCTTCATGTGGCGGATCGCCATCTCGATGATTTCTGTCTTTTCGACTCTGCCCCGACCCTTCTTCAAGTATTCCGCAGGTATAAGTCGGCTGAGATCGGCTAGGCAATTGTTCATACGATCTCTTCTGCGTTTCTCGATGATCCTGTGTGACATTGGATCTTGCTGCAACAAAAACGAATACAATCCAATGATCTATCCAGTCAATCTCTCTCTTCTAATATCTCAATAATAATATCATACTTTAAAGCCATCCACCGATGTTTTAAAATATTTTAAAGCTTTATATATATCATAATTATATAATCTACTAATAATCATATAATTTTATATTATTACTATCGCAAGAGAGGAAACTTTGTATACTGTTATTATTATTATTATATAAAAAGAAACTTATCAATATTTATAAACGAAAAATTCAAATATATAAAATAATTATTCCTCAGATTTTTTAACAAATTGTAAACGTAATACTGCTAATTACTTTCTATGTTCTAAGTACTACTAAGATACTAAATACATCCATTAAAAATGACTCACGCAAATCGATACATTTGATTTTTGCTTGCAGTAGTAACGGTCAAGATATGGTCAGACATTGCACTGGATTTACTTTATCTCGCATTATTTAATGAGAGACAATTAAAATACCGACCTTCATAAACAGATCAATTTATACGAAGCTTTTTGTTGTTGCAATTAAAGAGTTACAACTCCAAAATATGATCTCACATCGAGCAATCTTTACTGGTCACCCATGAACTCCCATGGATATCTTAATTAAAGCAGCATTTGCGTCGCGAACGAGAAAGATTGTAATTACGTTATCACGGGCGAATTAAAACACGTTATCATCTTCAAAGGTCACGTCGCTACTGGAACGCAATTATCTGTACGTGCCACGTGTCACGATCTTGAGGTGGATATCGCAGTTAGTTAGGTAACCGCTTAATTCACTGAAATGTTCATCTATCGCGCGAATATGCGGAAAGATAACGTCGGTGATCGGGCACAAAGCAATGTGATGCAAATGCAAAAGTCACACGTTTAACGATAAAATTGCAGCTGATACGTATAAAAGCAGTTTCTGATAATTATGTTCAATAACAAACTCTTTAAATGAATTAAGACAAGCGCATACTCTGAATGTTTATGTAATATGAGTGAATGAATAGTCGCAGTCACGCAGATCGAAAGCTTTAGATAATTTGCAATTTACTTTACAGTCTTCTATCTATGTTCCAACCAAATTCATACTATAGTTGTTTATTTTAAAAACAATATAACTTTTCTGAATTATTTTTATTTTTAAATATAATAATATTATTTTAAATATAATATAATAACATCAAATTTTTAAATATAATATTTTACTTTGAAATGTAATTATCTGCATATAATATCGTGCCAAGTCACAATCGGATCTTATATAACTATCCTTACGCGAATGTCTGCTTTAAAAACAAACAACATGCCTTACTTTTCTAGATAACCACAATTTGCTCTCGTCAAGATATATAATCGACGCGAACCTTCAAACAAACGCCTGCTGGATTCATTTCAAAACAAATTTTTACAAGAGAATGGAACGAGCGGTCTGACCCGCAATTATGCGATTGAAACAGCAAACGAACAATAAGCGACGTCACAATGACACCTCGATACTTATACTGATTTACGGGTATGTAGCATTCAAATCACGGTAACGTAACGCTCGTTCCTGGCACGCGGCCAACACGACGTTTTCCATGGAACTCATTCATGCGAAATTACGCAAGCGATCGGCGCATAAATCGGTGCATCCCGTCAAGAACGGGAACGGAATACGCGGCGCAGAGAGAATGATCCTAAAGACCATAAATCGGGATGAAATGAAGGAATGAAATAGTGGCTTTACTTCAAAGATCGTATATGGAATGGCCGATGCAAACTTCTTTTCAAATGTAAATTTATTCAGACGCTGACTCTTTCCAAAAATCGTACAGTTAACCCTTCATTACTCGCATCCCCACTTTACAAATTCACTAAATATGAATTTATACACATTATTATATTTAAGATAAATTGTATCACAACAACAAAATTTTTGCAGTTATCTCTCTCTAAGAGTTGTATAAGACATTATCAATTTTTATTGAATTGTAAATCATTAGAGGAAACAATGAAAATTAGGATGTAATATTGAGGTGTCAGAAACACTTTACGCGAATTAATTAAAATGGAGGGGGTTAATTAAGTGTTGCTAATAAAAGAATAGATAAAAAAATGTCCCAAGTTAGATGGAAGAATGCATTCCGAAAGACGATAGCACTTATTTAAAGGTTGTATAAAATATCAATCTTTAATTGTAAACCATCAAAGAGAACAATGAAAATTAGGCTATAATATTGAGGTCAGAAATACCCTACGCGAGTATAATTAGGTTAAAAAAACCACGCAAGTAATGTATAAGCCTAGGTTAATTAATTAAATGTTGCTAATGAAAAAATATATGCAAAAAATATCCCAAATTACATCCAAGAATGATAGTATTCCAATGTATCTCTATCTAAAGAATATAGAATATTATAAATATTTGATTATTTATAAATCATCAAAGAGAACAATAAATTTTGAGATATAACAATGTTGAAGTATCACACAACGCGAGTAATTACGTTAAAAAACCATACGAGTAATGTAGGGTTAATTAAATGTTACTAATGAAAGAGAGTAGAGAGAAGATTCCAAATTAGATAGAAAAATGCGTTCGAATCTTCATCGTATTGCTACGAAACTGCGTGTCCGTCTTTCCTTTTTCCGAGCGGAAAGAAACAAGATATCGATTTCATCCAATTAGATTGGCGGATGCGTATTCACCTCTTTATTCAAACAGCGTCTCTTCCTCGGTGGCGGTGAATGCACCGATGCATCGACGTGGCTGTTCGTCGGATAGTATTGCATGTTCAGGATGTTATCCATACTATGCGTGACCATCCTGCCTTGAATAGCAAAATACAGAAGGAGAAAAGTATCTTCTTATCTTCCACGGTCTTCGAAAAAGTATCGATCCGCTTAAAAGTCACTTTATCGTCACCCTTATTGTTTCTCTTTAAATACGCGCGATACACGTGTGTACCATTCGAAAATAAACTTCTATATCGATAAATATCAAAGTCTATTGCGTTGGTAAAATTCACTCTCGAAACGATTTTCTCGTGAGGAAAATTCGATTCCGAATAATACTTTTATCAGTCAGTCCCCATAAATGGTTCGCACTATATCGAGTAACTATTGTATATACTAGGACACTTTTAGAATTTGTAGCAATAACTGTTCCATATGCAATTCAGTCCAAATAGATTTCTCGACGAAGATCGTTCAATTTTATATTTCTTTGTATATAACTTATATCCTTCGACTGTCAATTATGTATTATATACAGACAGCGTATATTCGTTCAAGAATATTATTACTTAAATTTATATTAGAATCCGTTCGCAATATATATTTATTGTATAATTAATATTGCAATACATTTATTGTCTTTCTGTTTGTTTGTTTTTTTCTTCTTTTTTTTTTTTTATTAAAAAATATACAATTATATTTTTATTATAGAATTACTCAAAGCACTATCGCGATTATCGAAACTCAGCGAGAGAGAGAGATTAACCGACCACTTAACACTTTGAAACGGGCAATGCCACTCGCTCTTGTTATCGAACAGTCGCTGTCCATGCTCGCGAATCGCAGGCGCACCGACGACTACGAGCCGCGAGCGACGACACTCGCGTTTCTTCAGCCATCGGGAGGGAGACACCGCATCGGATCGGGCCGGTCGCGCCGCGCCGCGCTGCGTCGACGGCGACCAGGAGGCATCACGTGTCGAAAACGCGATGTATTACGCCCAACACGTGAGGCAACACGCGTCTCCGCCTCGTCGCATCGCGTCACGCTACGCCGTCCATCAGAACGACCAGGGGTTCTTGTTGTTTCTGACTTTGACTACTACTGCGAGTCCCCTACGTCGCGAACCATTGTACCCGATTATCCCGTTTAACTCCCCCTCGAATTTCTCTTCGAGGAAATTCCAGTTCCACGGATTTTTACAGTCTTTTAGTTATATCTTTCTGTCGCACGTATGTAAGCGAATAATTTACGAATATTTACAAAAGGCACTTCTAAGAAACACTTCAAGTTCAATTAACATGATATTTTTACGACGCGCAGTTTTGTGTGGTATTAATGGAAGCGCTAAGTAAATATTTTTTTTTCTTGAATGAAAATTTAATTGTTAACTTAGTTAATTTAATTGACTTTTTTTATTTATACATTTTTTTTATTATTATATTACAATATTATACAGTATTGAAACCGATTCTTTTTGGAAACATTTTAACAAATTTTTATTCTATGAAAAAGAATTTGCTTTAATAGAATTTTCGATGCATGCTTGGAAAAACGATAATATTATAAAAACATACATAAGCATACATTTTCACTTATGTTAATTATTTCCTTGTATTTTATAAATTATTTTTGTTATGATCATAATTTTTATTAGAACATATTAATATATAATAAGTTATTTGTTAAATTTCATTTCAGCTTACCTATTCAAATATCAAAAAGAATAATTTTCAAATTTATTGGAGCAGTTAAAAGAGGTTCATATGCGTTCAATGTAATTTATGTTGCAAATTATATTCTTGCATGTATACATCTTATTACATAAATCTGCGTAAACACAATAATTTAATTAATTAATCCTAACATCTGAATATATTCATCTCTGTATTTGCAGTTGTTACACATTTAATTATTACTTTTGCCTAGCATACCAACATATATTACATTTAATAAAAGGACTCATAACTAATATTAAACTTAAAATTTGCATCTGGTTAAAATAAACCAGATGGAAATAATTCAATACTATGGTACTAATAAATTGTAGTTAATCAAAATTTGATAGTTAAATATAATTATATACTTCAAAACGAAAGAACATTTAGTTAATAAATTATATATTTTAGTTTATGTATAATAACTTAATTTAATAATTTAGTTTATCTAATATAAAAAATAATTAAAATATTTTAAAATAATTACTTGTATAAGCTTGTATAAAATTTAAGTAAATAACTATTTTTATTACATCTCTCTCTCCCCCCTCCCTTCCT